AATTAGTTTTAGATTTAGGGAATAACGCATCGAACGAGAGCATCCTCAGTTTCACAATCCTAGTTGTTGATTTGAAAATGGATGGAAAATCCTTATGTGCGCATACAGCATACAGTCCTTGATAGTTTGCGTTTTTGCATTGCGTCTTTTATGCAAAGGCGCAAAAAAAAATTCATGAAACTGTCAAATTTAGCACGCGGCAGTTTGTTGGCTGGTACGCTGGATGGAGGCGCGACTGTGGTGCGTGGTGTCTATGGCATACCGACGGAGTGTTATGGCGGAAGATGGGAGTGTGGACAGCTTGGGACAGCTTATTACTCGCAGTATCAGAAAATGAAAAAGGAATGGAAAAACACAGTATACTTGGCACGCTCACGTATTCAGGGTCTAGGACTGTATGCATCACGAGATATCGAAATGAATTCGATGATTATCGAATACAAAGGCGAGGTCATACGCAGTGAGGTATGCGATTTGCAATTTGATTTTGCATTTTTAGCAAGTAAATTTCAATTGCGGATACTGCTTTCCTCTAACTTGAAAGTTTTTTGTGACATGCAGTGCCTCGCAACAAATCAGCGATAATTAAAGGTTGGAGAAATGCGGGAAAAGAAGTACGAAGGTCAGAATCGCGGTGTTTATATGTTTCGAGTTGATGATGAGAGACTCATTGATGCGACGATGGCTGGTGGCCCTGCGCGCTACATTAATCACTCGTGTGATCCAAACTGCAGTACACGATTGGTTGATTCAGGCCCTTCCGGGGATGACAAAAAAATTATCATTATCGCGAACAGACCGATCAGTGCTGGTGAAGAGGTATTCTTTTTGAAAAATCTTTTGATTATTTTAAATATTTTCTGTTTTCGTATTCACTGGTGAGCCTTCTACGACGTTTGCATCTGAGGGTGTTACGGGTTACGATTCCTCTCTCCTGCATCCCACCGTCTTCTTAAACTTAAAAGTCGCATTTTTACGGAAGCTGAATAAATCGGATTTAGTGTTGACTTGAATCCAATAAATACTGAACTGTTAGCAGATGCAAGTTGAAAAGGGAAAAGGGGAAGTTCCAAAGAAAAGTTTTCAGATGCCATTTTTTGCCGTCAGCTTAAGGCTGAACTGTGAAAGTGCCCCTTAAAATTCGATCTAAGCACAGTGTTAATCATTTCCTGCTTATTTTGCTCTATTATCTAGTTTCTAAATATTGCTGCCGAGTTTTTACGTAAATTTTCTTCTAACTGACATGATGCAGTGTCTGAAGTAGTCTGGCGGTGGAATAACCAATTCTTACCCCTTGTTTCGGTAATAAATTTGCATTGACATATGCCAGGGAGCCAAATTCGTCGTCAGTTTGCTTCCAAACTGTTTCGAGATAGGTAGATATCGACAGCCAGGCCAACGGCCGATTGTTGTCGGCATTTGTTACCACTGGGACTTCCTCGCTAGATATCTTTGTCTCTCACGGATGACGAATAGGGAGGTGGACTTGACTCTGTTATAAATCCTGCCTTCGCTGCGATTATTTCTCACCTGTTGTTTCATTTGTCAGAAGTGGAGATGAAACTCATGAATTTTCGTCCAGCATTTTATGTTTTATAAATTCTTCAGCTGACATACGATTATCAATTTGATATTGAAGATACAGCGGACAAAATTCCCTGCTTATGTGGTGCTCCAAACTGTCAGAAATGGATGAATTGACGATAACATCAGTATGAAACAATGCATTTATTTCTTTTTACAGCCTTCCAAAAACATTGAGATATTTTGCCTCCTTATGTAACCTTTCATGAAGTTTTGTGCTGAAGAATTTCTAGGTTTGTAGATTAGGACTGAATTGCTTTGTATTTCTGTATTTTTGTGTACGCTTTTGCTTGTTTACTTCTGGATTATTTTTTTTGGAAAATTATTTTCCGTGAGTATGCGAAATGATACGCTTTTAATAGTTCGATCGTGATGGCGAGCCTGGTTTAGTGACGAGTAGCTTTACTATCACGCTTGAGTTGATGGTTTGATCAGTAGGAGAAGACCAATATTATTCGTTGATTTACCATCATATTAGTTTGCCTTTGTACTGTCAAAATTGCATCAGTTTTTC